GAAATCAGCACCGAAAACAGTTCTCAAATAACGGCTAAAACAAGTAAAAATGAGCATTTACGAGGGCGTTACTATTGTAAAAATGTCAAAAATGTTAATGAAATTTCATAAATGCTTGTTACATTTAGTAAAACAGTATACAGAGGTCTGTATACGTTTTCATAAAATCTAGTGCAATGTTGTTTTAGATTTTATAAAAGTGTCTGTCTCAGTCCTACATTTTTTGAGGACTCCATCTATTGCAGGCCAAAGCCCCATCGGATGCCCCACGGAAATTGAGGATTATTCGGGATTATTGAAACAAACGGCAAATTTGTCGAAGTTCGAATGAACTCTCTATAAGTGGTACGAAATGACGGCACGGCACACAGCTTTTTGACTTGACTCTGCCTTTTATACCCGCATAACTCTTGGCAATGCTCGCACGTGGACACATATTTCACCTGGAAGCTCCCTCGTCACCGCACGCTCCACGCTCCGCTGCTGGAGTGGGATGAAAGTGGGAAGGATGGGAGGGGGGAGGGGGGTGCTTCCAGCCGCTTCAACATATACATAGTCACACAACTCGGGCAAACACTTCCAATTGGTTTTGGCGAACGTTTTGTTCCCTCGCGCATGCCGGCCGCTGCGAGGGCCGCAGTGGGCGCGCGCGGTCAGCTCAGCCCCTCCCTGCTCATTGAAAGTGGTGCCAACTGCTGACCCTAAAACCCACAGGCCGTGCCGTAGGCCGTCCCCGGGTGCCACCGGCCGGCAGGCTGCCGTAGGCTGCCGTAGGCCCGCTCCTCCGCTCACATCAGGCCTGGGCCTCCACGGGGCCTTTCACAATAAGCACTTGGGGAGCTGCAACATTCCCTCCTCATTGTGCAGAAACTATCTCAACATAGATCATGAGGACCGAGGAGCGGCGCGCCAAGTTCGACAAAACTATTTAGTACGTCCGTGCACTTGGCACAGAGCGGCTCCGCCCCGCCCCATCCCGCCCCGCCACGCCACGCCGCACGCCTTCGCGGCAAAGTGTCTTCGTGTAATAGCTCTGAGTGCTCCCTCGCGCGCACAGAGCGCTCCCGCGAATTTTGTGTGTAATTTGATGGTTCCCGTACTCCAATCAGCGAACGAAATATTCGATTCGGCGGCGGCGGCGGCATCTTGGTTCGGTCCCATCCGCGCGCAGCTGGGGGAGCAGAGGGCCCCGCCACGTCGCGCCCCGCCGCCACTGAGGCATAGGGGCATAAATCGGGTGGGCCGGACAGGCTCAGGCCCGTCCAATGGCGTAGCACGGGGGAGGGCGAGCAGAGGGCAGGGCGCTTTCGTCCGCAGAGCGTGGCGTGGCTCCGCCGCCGACGGGCGCGTCGGAATGGCGGCCGCTCTCTAGGACTCTAGTATCTATCGAGGGGCCATTTACACCCCCGGGAAGGCCTCTCGACCTTAGGGGAGGGCCTCGGCCAGGGCCTTACCCATCGATTCATGGCGGAGGCAACGCGGAGGCCATGGGAAGCCGAGGGAGGGGCTGCCGGCGCTGCTGCTCCTGCTGCTGCTCCTACTTCGCTGCTGCTGCTGCCTGCTGCTTCGCTTCGGCTTTCGACTCGACTCGAGGGCGGTAAAGATCTCGTTCCACGGGCCCATTAAGTTTCTGCTTGGTCGACGCCACGCCCGGCCCCGCGCCGCCCCTGCGCGCTCTGCAGGGGACGACGACAAGGGGGTTGAGGGCGTGGGGGGAGGGCGGCAAGGGTTCTTATGGGGGCAGAGCAGGTCGTTTCGCAATGTTGTGTCTCGCGATTCGCCGAATGCGGGACGGGGGCGCTCTGAGCCCCTCTGGGGGGGCTGAGGGGCTTCGGGCTGTACGCTGCTTCCTGGCGGGGCGTGGAGCGCGGGCTTCGCGCCGGGGCAGCCGGGCCACGGAGGCACCCCGCAGGGTAGGGGAGGCCAAGCGGGGCCAGCGGGGGCCGGCAGTGTGGGGTCTAAGCCCCCCGGGGCCCCGTCGCCCCAGTCCCGCGCTGGTGGTGAGGAATTAGCAACAAGTTCGAAGAAGATTAAATGGTCGTGCAGCAGCAGCAGACCCACAGCCAGCACCCCCTCGCCATTCCCGCCCCCTAGAGCAAATTTGAATGCGACCTGAATGCGTTTGTGTTTGCTCGGAGAGCCCGTGCTGCTAGTACACTGCGGCAAGCAGCCCCCTCCC